CCCCAAAACCCCAAAACCCCAAAACCCCTCTTTCAGTATTAAAATTGACTTAAATTTTTAATAACAATTTGAGATGATAAGAATTGATATTAAATCTCTATTTCGTGATCAGAGCTTAGCCTCTTCCTTCTTTTTTTCTCCAGTAAGCCAGGCAAATTCTTATGGCTTTCTTGCTGCGTTTGGATCGATCATAACATTAAGAACCCATAGATTGTTATCATTGAGCATCTCAGTTAATCTTTCTTAAAGATTTTTGTGATCCTTGACCATTGCTCCCTTTCCTCCAAATGCTTAAGAGATCATTTCATATTTAGATTCAACACTCAAAGCGAAAACTGGAATTTATTGAGGATTCGTTTTATCAATCTCCTCTTGGCCGTAAGTGATACCATTATTGTTAACAATAATAACCTTCAATGGAATGTTGTATCTTGCTGCTGTTTCAACCTCCATACCACTGAAGCCGAATGCTGAATCCCCAACTACCATAACAATCTTCTTTTTTGGATGAATAGCATGTGCTGCAATTGCAAACCCAAATCCAACACCCATTGTTCCAAAGGTGCCGGCATCAAGTCTTTGTCTCCCTGAGTCATTTGACAAGATTGTTCTACCAATGTCCATGGTGTTACTTCCCTCGCTAACAATTATATAGTCATCTTTCTGGGCGTGAATTGAATCCTCTACCATTCTCAAGACTGAATAATAGTTCATGGGAATTGTCCTATCAGCTTGGAGTTTCTCAGAGTCAACCTTATTCTTTACAACTCTTTGTTTGAGATTTTTCCACCAATCTGAAGTGTCTGGAAGAATTTACTCCTTCACAGCATTATTGAGTTAATTGAGTATGACTTTAGCATCACCGACTAGTGCGACCTCAGCCTTAACATTGGTATGGAATTCATGAGGATCGTTGTCAAGTTAGATGATCTTAACGTTTTTATTGAATCTTGGGGCTTCACCAAAATGAAGAATCCAATTCAATCTTGCTCCACACAAGAATATAACATCAGCATTTTGAAGTACAAAAGTTCTAGCACCTCCTACAGAATGAGAATCAGAGTCTTTAACAACTCCCTTGCCCATTGGGGTAGCCAAGAATGGTAGATTAGTTTTATTGATGAAATCCCTCATTTCTTAGTCTGCTTGACCGTATGCAACACCTTTACCAACAATGACTAAAGGATTTTTAGCGGATTTCAGTAAATTAAGAGTAGCTCCGACTTAAGAGTCTGACAATTGAAGTTATGGTAGTAGTTCAACTAAGGGGAAGTATTATATGCTACTCTCTTCAACTTTGCCATGAATAATATCAGAAGGCATCTCAATATAAACTGGTCCAGGAGTTCCGTACATTGACATCCTTACTGCCCTCTCAACTACAAGTGGAATATGGTTGATGCTAGCAGGTCTAGCTGAGTACTTAGAAACTGGTTTTGAGCAAGCCATGGTATCAAATTCTTAAAATGCACCCTTTCCGTCAAGACTTGTTTCTGATGCCCCACCAATTACAATCATTGGCCATTTGTTCACCATTGAATTAGCCATTGCACTGATGCAATTAGTCATTCCTGGTCCACTCACTGCTAACACTACTCCTGGTCTCTTGGTAATGTATCCCACAATACCTGCTGAATAAGCTGCAGCTTATTCATTTCTAAATCCGTAGTATTGGATACTTTCAGATTGGAATGCCATAGCAATGTTTGTGATTGGAATACCAACAATACCAAAAGAGTATTGAATATTTTACTTGGCTAAAGCTTTAGCTAAAACTTCATATCCTGTGATCATTTCTTGATATCTTACTTATAAATTATAAATAATTTGCTCGTCATTCTATTTACTTATACGTCATATGGGGTTTTGGGGTTTTGGGGTTTTGGGG